TGCTTGAACTGCGCCCCCCCCCCCTAAATGCCAGTGCCTTTCATTTTACCAGCCTTTGAACGACCAATGGGCCCGAATGAACGACCGGTATAACGAACGAGGACGAAAATGTCTCAGGGGCATAAAACGCAACCCTGACGGGCTGCAAACATGTTCTCTCGTGAACACGGTTCTGGCTGCTACGGGTTCCCCGTATGCTTACAATTAGTAGTAGTGGTAGGTAGGTAGTGTGAGAGGTGAAATTGTGAGAAGAATATAGCTAGCCCTAGGAGGGGAGATACCGGGGCATACTGGAATTTTTTTTTTTTTTTTTTTTTTTTAATACTGGAAATTTTAAACCCGTACTGGTAGGGGCATATTGAACATATTTCAGGCCCAAACGATGCCAGGGCTTTTTCGGAATCATCAATTGCTGTCAGAGGGGCACGACAGGTTAACTTGGCGGTCCGAGGGGCACGCCGCAAATAAATGGAGCTTTCAGGGGCATATCGAAATCTCGGGGACAAACATGGGACAAACATGGGACAAACATGGGACAAATTATGGGAAAAGTACCTCGTACCGCCCCGAACAATTTGCAACTACGGACCTGTCTCGTACCGGGTTGAGGTTCTGTTTCAAAAAAAATAAGAAGAAAAAAACAAAAAAAAAAACCTTTGCGCGACGGGACGAGGCCGATGTACGACCGTTGGGCGGGCCAACGCACGAGGACCTCGTTGTCCCCCGAAGAGTTGTGTAATTCCCAAAATGACCCAGAGGATGGAGTGGAGGGCGAGGGGCTTTGGGACCAGCAGAGCCAAGCGTCTACCCGTGTTCTTGCGAATAGAACGCACGGTCATTATAGCCGTACTCGGCGCATATTTCGGTCCAGATACGGGTAAAATTACCGAACGTTCTGTTCTACTGGGGGGAAGACGGTAGTAGAGGACCGTTGTGACTCCATTGGGTGGGAAGTGATCGCTGCCGTTGATGGTCCATTTGTTTCGTTTCTCTTTTCTTTCGTTACTGATGATGGCCCATGATCAGACAAGGGCCGAGGTCCCACTAGCAAAGAGGATCGGATCGAATGCCTGAATCTGCATGTGTTTTAAACAGAGATGCAGAAAAGCAGTTCAATCTCGATTTCCTGCACCTATCCACAAACACGTCCAGATGCAGGCATTCGATCCGATCCTCTTTGCTAGTGGGACCACGCCCCAGAGAATGGGCGAAGGGTACGGGTAGCAGCAGCAGACGGCGGGCGGAGCCCAACGGGGGAGTGTCGCTGTACTCGTGCGGCGGGTGTTTGCGCGGCTGATGTGTCTGCGCGTCCGCGCGCGCGCGCTCGCGCTCGCGCTCTCCGCAACGTGCATGACACTTGGCCGTCTGGTGGTCTTGCTCTTCATCTTTCCCGCCGGGCATACACCTCGTTCTCTATTTGTCTCCGTCCCACCCTCCCACTCTTCTACCCATTCCCAACCCACCCTACCCCCCTCCCTACCCCCTCCCTACCCCGTCCTACTCTCCCAGCCCTCCCGTTAGTTTCGCGGCGTTCCCGAGGTCTTGATGTTGTCGCGTTCATGGTCGGCGGCTGCCTGCAGCCCGCGCGCTCATGGCGCAACTCCGAGTCGGTTTTGCGCGGGAGAAGATTGGTTGATTGGAATTTTGGAATTTTGGAATAGCACACAGGGATCGGCTGTGGCCAGTCGAGACGGGGCAACGTCGTGTTCGCTGTCTCCTCGACCCATCTCACAGTCTTTGCGCCGACCACCTCCTCCTCCCCTTCTTTCGCCTGTCCTGCTGCCACGTGTCGACTGTCTGTAGCTTGTTGGGTCGTCTGCGATCTCCGCCTTTCCCCTAAGTAGTCAACGGCTCTCTTCTCACGCTCGAACAGCAGACGACGAAGTGTTAGAAGCAGATTTGGTGTGAAGAGGGAGGGGGGGGGGGGGTTGAGGGTGGAGAGGTCTGGTTGGTGTTCTTTGCTCGTTCAGTCTCGTTGCCGGTCATGCCAAGTTTGATTTGATCATAGATTAGTTTTGGCGGGAAGCTGGGACTTGATTGATCTGTTCGGAATCCGTTGTTGTCTGCCGTTGTCCTCCTCGTAGCAGGAGGAGGAGGAGGAGGAGGAAGAGGAGGAGTGGATATGGCGAGGGGTTCTCCGGGAAACTCCGGCGACACGTTGGAAGATGAACGAGACCAAGAGCGGTCTGGAGATGATCAGGGGGAGGAGGAAGACCCGGAGGAGATGGCATTGCTTGAAGCAGATAGCGAGGAAGCAGGAGGAGGAGGAGGAGGAGGAGGAGGAGAGGCACCAGGAGGAGGGGGAGGAGGAGGAGAAGTAGGAGGGGGAGGAGGAGGAGGTGCAGAACCTGCGCCTGTGGCTGACGATCAGCCTCCTCCCGGAAGCCCTGCCACGCCTGCGGAGAGCGCGAGCGACGCGGAGACCGACGAAGACCTTCCAGAGGTAGACGAAACYTTTTTTTTTTTTTTTTTTTTTTTTGTCCTTGGATACAAGTAATCAATCACTTCCATCACCACCCGCGTCAGCATCTCCTTGTCATCTTTTCCATCAAATCCATGTCCATTAGCATCTTCCTCCGCTTGTCCAAAACCTTGGTCATCATCATGTTCATCATCATCCTCTCATCAGAATGGATTCCCTCTCCATCATCGTCGTCGTCGTCATCGCTCTCGCCATCGCCGCCACCATCGCCAATGTTATCGCTGATGGGAGCTTCTTCTCCTTTCTCCTTCATTCACATTGAGTCCTCCCCTTGTCCGAAACCATGGCCATGTACATTAGCATCATCGTCTCATCAGAATGCTTGTCGTCACCACCACCATCGTCGTCGTCGTCGCTCTCGCCATCGCCATCGCCATCTTCTTCGCGTTGTCTCGCTTATGGGATCTTCTTCTCCTTTGTCCTTCATTCAGTCCGAGAGGATCATCGTCATTCCTAGCTCTTCTTCATCACCATCATCATCATCATAATCATCATCATCATCATCTTCATCAACATGGTTATCATCTGATCTCATAATAGTCATCATCATCATCGTCATCATCATTTCGATAATCTTCACTAGCAGCAGAACCGATACAATCACGGCTATCATTATCGCCATCACCGTTAACATCAGCCTCAGCATCACCATCGTCATCCGCATTTCTTCTGCTGTTATTCGGGATAGGATATACACTTTGTCCATCCATGTGAGCATTGATATCAGGCCCATCATCGCCTGACACGTGTCGTCACGATCGTTTGAATCGTGTCCTCAGTCTGATCACTGTTGGAGCCATCATCATCATCATCATCATCATCATCATCATCGTCATTATCCGTGCGGGAGCTCTTCTCTTTCATTCGTCCTTACGTGAGCTATTCTCTTTTTCAACACGTTCATCTCTGTCTTGTGAGGGTAAGAAACTGATAAATCTGCCTGCAACGGCATCGACGGCAGACAGGAGCTCCGTCCTTACGAGAATCATGGCTATGGCTATGGTGATGGCGATGGCGATGACGACAACGACTAGTTCCTGCTTCTCCCTTAGCTCTCTTAGGCTTGCCACGTGTCCATATCCCGATTGCTTGCTCCTTTCGTACGTCTGTCGTTTCATTGCTCCTGTGAAGAAGAGGGAGGAAGGAGGGGAGGAGGGAGCAGAAGAAGAGAAGGAGAGGAAGAGGCAGAGGAGGAGGGGAGGAGGGAGGGAGAAGAAGACAGAGACGGACGAAGAAGTGGAGGAGAAGAACAAGAAGAGGAAGAGGAAGAAGAAGGAAGAAAAAGAGGAGGGAGGAAGGGAAGGAAGAAGAAGAGGAAGGAGAAGAATGAAGAAGAAAAGGAGGAAGCATTGGCGATGGCGGTGGCGATGAGGATGAGCGATGACGACGATGGGGACAGAAACCATGGTCATGAGGGGATGATGATGTACATGGCCAAGGTTTTGGACAAGGGGAGGAGATGCTAAAGAGAAGAAAGAAGGAAAGGAGGAAGAAGGAGAAGAACGAAGCGGAAGAGGAGAAAGAATGAACGAAGAAGAAGAGGAGGAAGGAGGACGAGGAAGGAGAAGGAAGGAGAAGGAAGGAGAAAAGGAAGTTGAAAAGGAGGAAGGAGAAGAACGAAGCAGAAGAGGAGAAGGGAGAAGAACGAAGCAGAAGAGGAGAAGGGAGAAGGAGATAAAGGAGAAAGGAGAAAAAACAAGAAGAGGAGGAAGGAGGAGGAGGAAGAAGGAGGAAGAAGGAGAAGGAAGGAGAAGGAAGGATGGGAAAGAAGGATGAAGAAGAAGAACGAAGAAGCAAAGGAGGAAGAAGGAGAAGAAGTAAGCACAACAGGAGGAAGAAGGAGAATAACGAAGAAGAAGAGGAGGAAGATGGAGCAGGAAGGAGTAGGAGCAGTAAAGAAAAAGAAGGATGAAGAAGAAGAGGAAGGAGACAAGGAGGAAGAAGAGGAGGAAGCGGAGCGGGAGAAGATGGGAGAAGAGAAAAAAGTGAAGAGGAAAAGAAAGGAGAAGGAAAAGAGGAGGAAAGAAAGAGGAGGAAAAGAGGAGAGAAGAGAGAAGAGAGGAGAAGAAACAAGAAACAGAAGAATTAGGGAGAAGAAGGAGAAGAAGAACGAGGAGAAGAGTGAAAACAGGGGCCAACTGCCTTTCGTACATGCTTCGATAGTTCTTCCACACATAGCCGCGCTTACTAATCTCAGCTAATTCTTTTTTTTTTTTTTTTTTTTGTTTATCATCTCAGCTAATTCCGCCTTAAGCCTTTCAATCTCTTAAAGTCTGTTGAGTAAACTCTCTCCTTCTCTCTTTTTCTCCGATTTCTCTTTTTGTGTTTTGATTCTTGATGTTTAATGTTATCTTTGTCTCTCTATCGATTCTTTATGTGCCATTCTACTTTCCTCTTTTCTTCCTTCCCTTCCCTCCCTCCCATATCTCTCTTTCCTTCTCTCTCGCTCTCTCTTTCCCTCTCCCTCTCCCTTTCTCTCTCCCTCTAGTGTTCTTTGCACCTGTTCGTCCTTTCGATCGCTCTAGAGGCCAGGCGCTCCTCACTCGCGGTTTCCTCACCCTGTCTCTATCACGCAGCAAGTACTAGCGTTTTCTCCCGAATAGAACGCCCGGTTAGGATTTCTGTATTTAGACTGAAAGATAGACCAAGTTCAGCTGTAATGACCAGGCGTTCTATCTGTGTGAGCACGCTAACGACATTTGAATTGCCGTTCTCAACAACGCCTCTCTCTTTTTCGTCACACACTCGGTCACACACACACACTCTGTCGCACACGCACACTCTGTCTCAGACACACATACACTGTCGCACACGCATACACTGTCTCACACACATATACACTGTCGCACACGCACAGTCTCACGCACAAACTGTCGCACACGCATACACTCTGTCGCACACACATACACTCCCTGTCTCACACACACACGCTCTGTCTCTCTCTCTCTCTCTCAGAGTTCAGCCCATCTCTCTCGTTAACGAACATTCGTCTTTCTCTCTCTCTCTCTCTCCCCGTCTCTCCCTGTCTCTCTCTCTCTCCCTGTCTCTCTCTCGCCCCCTGTCTCTCTCTCTCCCTGTCTCTCTCTCTCTCTCCCCCTGTCTCTCTTTATCTCTCCTTCGACCATAGATCTTGCTTTCCGGCGACGTGACCACATCCATTGATCACGCTTTTTTTCTCTCCCTCTCTCATCCTTTCTCTCTCCCCTTCTCCCATGTTCTCGACCACATCCATTCCTTCTCCTCCAAGCTACTGACAACCTGTTCTCCATTCCCCGCTCGCCTTCCCCGCCCCCCCGCGAGGTTATTTTCCAGGCCCTTATTTTGCCCCATCTCATCTCCCTCCCATCCGCCCCCCCGTCCCGGTTTCTCTTCCTCCCTACTGCAACGTGTTCTTTTTCGAATTAGATCCGCATATCACACGTTATCTCCAATATTCTGAGAGAAGAAAGTTGTTTTTTTCCCCCTACGCTACCAGAGTGGCCCGGGACCACTTGCCCGGCTGGGCAAAAAAATAAGGAAGAAAAAAGTTTTTTTTTTGAATTATAGTTTTCATTTCAAATTTGGTAAGGAATTTCGATGTGAACCTGGGGCAAAAGTTGTTCAGTTTATTTTTCTGCATAGCATAGTTTTTTTTTTCAGATTTTTTTTTTTTTTTTTTTTTGCCGGGACCTTCGTTGGCCCTTGCACGGCCGGGCCGCCCCGGGAAAAGAAGGTGACCCGGGGAGCCCGGCTGGTAGCCGAGTTTTTTTTTAATGTTAATTTGGCTCATTTCTCTCCCATTCTTTTTTCTCCCTCACGCTCCCTCTCTCATTCTCTTTCCTTTGACGTCTTCTCTTTTCTGTTTTAGGAAAAAAAAACGTTGGAAGGACATCTTCTCTAATTCTCTTTATCCTTCTGCGAACCTTCTCTCCCTCTCTCTCTCTCTCATTTTTCCTTTCCCCCTCTCTCTCCCTCTCTCATCTTCCTCCCATTTATATTCTCTTATTGTTTCTTGGCCTTAGCTCGTTTGTGTTTTTTCTTTTTTTTCTTATTAATTCAAATTCTCGATCTCTTGATCGCGCCCTCTCTCTCTCTTTTCCCTTTTTTTATTTTTAATTCAAATTCTGTTTGTGATTTGTTTCTAAATTATTATATTAGTATATAGATTTATAAAACTGTATGTAAATAAATTTGATTTGTCCGGTCTCTAGGTATCCCCTTTTTTTTGTCGTCATCGGATTTTGTGATAAGTGTAATTCGAGTTCGTTTTTTGTTCAGAAAAAAGAATTATTTTATTTCGTTCCTGTCTTTTTTGACGTATTACTACGCCTCTTCCCCCGAACACAACGCACCCTCAAACGAAGAGAGGAACCGTCTACTAACCTTATTATGGTGAAGACGTATTACTACGCCTCTTCCCCCGAATAGAACGCCCTGTCGTTATAACTGTATCTGGGGCAGCTTTCAGTCTAGAAACAGCGATAATGACAGGGCGTTCTATTTGGGGGAAGGCGGGAGAATCTCCGTCCAAGACGCTCCGTTTGGGGTATTTGATTCATTGTCATGTTGTGTCCGTTGGAGTCCGTTGCAACCCCTTTTTATTCAAAAAAAAGAAATTGATAATATACTTGTTTTATTCGAAAAAAGAAATGATGAATAGGCTTTTTGACTCGAAAAAAGAAATGATAGTATATCCTTTTGATTCGAAAAAAGAAATGATAATATCAAATGCGAAGGGCAATGTAATTAATGAAACGTAATGAATATTTCAAAATAAATCTTTTTCACGGAATAATCATCATAACAAATAAATATGAGTAATGAACTAGGCTACCAGATTGGCCCGGGTACACTTGCCCGGCCGGGCCAAAAAGAAATAAAAGATAAAAAATGAAAAATATTTTTCAATTTAAAATTTTATTTTAAATTTGGTAAATATTTTCGATGTAACCTTGAGGCAAAAGTTGTTCAGTTTATTTTTCTGCGTAACATAGTTTTTTTTCGTTCTTTTTTTTTTTTGTTGGGACCTTCCCTGGTCCTTGCCCGGCCTGGCCGCCCGGGAAAACAGGGTGACCCGGGCGGCCCGGTTGGTAGCCGACGTAATGAAGTCATTATCATCATATGATGTTTATATATTTTTTTGAATACGCTTAGCAGTGTATATAAAGGTTAATAGTGTTATTTCCAAATAAAAGGCAAATAAATAATGTTTGAACCAAAAAAAAGAAGTTATTAAATTAGGAGTGGAAAATAACAAAAGTCGTAATAATACATTTAGTAGTGTGGATGATGGGGGCCAGTAAAATTCCATGAAGTTCTCTTTGTCATGAAGGCGTGTGAATGTTGCAGACGGCGGGGGGAGTCCAGATACATGATGACCGCGATCTGGATGGTATTTCTTTTTTATTATAAATTTTAATTTATATCTCTAATATTGTTAATATAATGTTAGAATTAATCTCGGTGACAATATATATTGCATATATTGCTCGGCGCTCTGGTATCATGTGACAGTATATAGCTTAATATATAAGAGGTTTTGAACAGGGGGGAGTCTTGTAAGGAAGAAGATAAAAAATGAATTTATTTCTTCTTTTTTAAAGTTTTTTTCGCATTTGCGCTCTGATAAATTTGTGACGATATATGTAGGCGGCCTTGTACGCAAGAGGTTCTGAACAGGGGGAGTTGTAAGGAAGAAGATTTAAAATGAATTAAGTTTTTCTTGTTTCTATTTTTCGCTTTGGCGCTCTGATATCATGTGACAATATATGTAGGCGGTGAAGGACGGAAATACTAGCGTCCTTCTGCGAATACGTTGTACCCTAATCGTGAATGTATGAAAGCTGTAAGTCCAGTCTGATACTGTCAAAAATATATTGAGGGCGTGTTATTTATCTTCGCGTGTCGCATTGTCGATCTTCATCTCCCTTTCTCGTCTCTCTCTCTCTCCCTCTCGCTCTCTCCGTTAGGATCGCTCTCTCTCCCCCCTCCCCCCCCCCTGAAGTTTGGACCATTTATCGATTTATGCGTGTCATCCATGCATGAGCGGGGGCGATGCTAATCAGTCGATTAGTTATTAACTTATTAGTTAATGAATTAATTAATATGAATGAATTAATTATTAAGCGTTCCAATTCTAACGGATGTCATGGAGGACATGGTTCGCGTTTTGCTTCGAGCCTCATGTGTGCATTTTTTTTTTTTTTTAATTTCTCGTAGCCGCCGTGTGCGTCATGTGTTGTTCAGATTGGACTCGCTGCGTGAAAAAAAAAACTGAAAAAAAACCCGAAAAAGATTTGATCGCAGTCCCAAACAAAAAAAGAGAAAAAGATTCGGTCGCAGTCGCCTTGTACCGGCGGCTTTCCTATTTGTATCGAATAAGAAAAAGCCAAAAAAAAAAAAAAAAGAACGTTTGGAAAACGCTCCGCGATACTGTGAGTGTGATTG